ATTTTGAGTAAATAGATACTTGAGTGATTGAGGGCGGGACACCTGTCATGAGTTCAATTGTCATGAAACCTGTTCTCTGATGCCCGGTTGTCATGCCTTCTTTGAACTGTGCGCCATGGGGATGGCTGGGTCTGACTGGGACCACCAGGTGGCAGACATGGATTGTTGCATGAACAAAGAGGAAAGAGTTGATTGATCTCAAAAGAACTTGGGTGGCATGATGAAAGGAAAGTTGCTCTCTGATATTGAAAGAAACAGAGTGGAATGAGGACAAGAAAAAATCTGTTTAATGTGGGTGACGGAAAACGACTTGCTTAACGTGTAACACATAGGACATCGTTCCCAACAGAGCCGAAGTAGATCGACCAGAAATGCAACCCTCAGCGCTCCTTAGGATTGCGTCCCTTAACGTTCGAGGATTAGGACCCGCCTCCTTCCGCCCCAAATGGAAAGTGATAAAAGGATTGATAGACAGGGACAAAATCCAAATCCTGTGCCTGCAAGAGACCAAACTTGCAGAAAGCAGGCTGACGGATGGTACGCTCCCCCCAGTGCAGGCCCCTTTCCAAGCCTGGGCACCGGCTGTAGGTACGTCAGCAGGAGTCGCCATTTTATGTACCAAGTACTTCAAAGGCCAGGTGCTCGACTTCTTTGTCGATACGACTGGATGGTGGGCCTGGATATACATCGAAACGCTGAGAGAAAAAGCGCTAATTGCCACTGTGTGCTCCTTCTGGCAAGGACTGGCTACTAATCTCCCGGACGTGGGGAACCTTATTTTGATCGGAGACTTCAATACATCGGCGGACCCCCTTCCACGCCAACACCTGCGTCCCTCGTACTCCCCTGATGGCCGAGCTAAGCGGGCAACCTTGATGGAGTTGGGCCTGGCAGACGCGTTTCGGGCGTTGTGGCCTGACAAGAAAGGCATCACCTGGGTGGCTTCGCCTCTCAAACGATGCAGCCGTATTGACATGGCCTGGATGACGCGGTCAACTTTAGACTGCTTGCTGAAATTCACACTAACCCCGGTAGCTAGGTCAGACCACAAAATGATCATGGTAACTTTAGCACTCCCCTCAGACCTTCGGACTAGGCCCCCCCCTTCTACGGTACCCGCCTGGCTCTTTGCGGACGCATACTACTCTAATATGGCACTGCAGCATTGGGAGTATTGGTCGACCCTCCGCCACCCGCAACAGTCTGCGCTGTAGTGGCTGACGGATGGGACAGCAGCCCTGGCTCGAACGCTCAAGCAAGCAGTGCTAGCATCGAAGATGGCTCGGAGAGCCACGACGGAGGCCTTCATCTAACGGGCATTGGACCTTGGTGATGGGCCCGTCACCCAAGAGGAGGAGGAAGACTGGTGGACGGAGTGGGCGACTCTTAAAGTGGAGTGGGATGAGTGGAAAATGCAAGATGCTGAATTTTGGGGGCTCATAAATAAAACGGCATGGACGGTGGCGGCGAAGAGAATGACCAAAACGTTTTTTCGAACCCTTCGCGCGAAGCGACCTGCGTCCTATATGCAGGCCTTGGACCGCCTTTTGACGAATGGCTCTCGGCAGCGACCACGACGCCACAGATCCTAGAATACGCCCGACAATATTATTCCTACCTGTTGACACAGGAGCATAGCGAGCACAACAATAGTGCTCGCGAGGACGAGGCAGCCAGCGTGGAGAGGGAGGTCTGGTCGAAAATGACGACTGAATTGAGCGCAGAGGATGCTGGACAGATGGAACGGCTGATCACAGAAGACGAGATCGTGCAAGCCCTGGCTGATATGCCAGCTCGGAAAGCCCCGGGCCCGGACGGCTTGCCTTTGGAACATTTGAAGGTATGTGCTCAGCTCCTGCTGCCCCACTTGCTTGAAGGTTTCAACTCGTTCTGGAAAGGAAAGGAACGCCTGCCGCCTGATTTTGGCCTGGCCACCATCATCCTGGTATATAAGAAAGGATTGGCTGACGACATTCGCAACTGAAGACCGATATCGCTGTTGTCCGCTCCTTACAAGGTGCTTGCTAAAGTGCTTGCGAATCGCCTGTCAACTCATCTGCCTAAATTAATAGATAGTACTTAGACGGGCTTTGTCCCGGGCCGGCGCATACACACGAGCATCCTATTGGCACGCGAGATAATATGGCAGGCGTCGCGACAATGCCCGCAGCTTGCCTTTGTATCACTGGATTTTGAGAAAGCATACAATAGGGTTTCCTGGTCGTTCTTGTTAGAAGGAAAGAGACAACGTGGCTTTGGACCGATGTTCTGTGCTGCGGTACGAGTATTGTTGGCAAGTGCGCAATCTCGTTTGTTCATCAACGGGTACCTCACGGACCCCATCCATGTGACTCGATCGGTGCGCCAAGGCTGCCCCCTCTCCCCCGCCCTCTACATTCTCTATATCGAACACCTTCACGATATGATCAGAGCGGATGACACGCTTATAGGCCTTACACTACCATGAGGTAGACAACTGAAGAGCTCCGGCTTCGCTGATGATACTGGAGCGGTCACTATCCTCGAAAAACGGAGCGTGCAGGCGCTTAGAAGCCAGATCTTTGCGTTTGAGCGCCATGCTGGCGCCAAAGTCAATTGGCATAAGTCCCTGGCCCTGTTGCCAGACATGACGGCAGCCCCGATGTTTGATGGCATGAAAGTCCAGCCCATGACCCAGGCTGCAACCTACCTGGGCATTGTTCTCCCAGACGCATTGACGGAGGGAATAAAGATGGAGACCCTTATGGCCAAAGCTATGGCACGGCTCGCGCTCTGTGCAAAATCTCTGAGCGCAGGCGTCTTTTGTAGGGCCTTACTAGTGAACGCGATGGCATCATCGATGCTTTGGTATGCTGGAGCGCTCTCTTCTCCCGACCCGGTTCCTGCTAGGGACTATAGAATAGATTCATCTGGCGAAATGATCCCCACGCGGCGCATGCGATATGTCGGATCTCCTGGCAAAAACTTATCCAGCCACGACTTCAAGGCGGTTTGGGCATCATCGACCCGTCGTCTCAGATCACCGCCCTGCATCTTCGCTCTGTCTTCTGGCTTCTCCTGGAAGACGATACAGCCCCATGGAAAATGGTCACACTCCAGACCATGGCCGACTCCATTAGACTGGACCCGGCGGACGTGGAGATGGCGCTGCTGCAGCCCCAACTCTTGAAGAACCTGAAACGCGGGGCTCTGTGGACTCCTACACAGTCGCACTGGAGCAAGCTTGATCCGCTGCAGCTGCAATCGCCAGAGACTGTAGACCAGATACTCCAGCAGCCCATATTCGACAATCCAGCCATATGCGACCAGACAGGTAGGCCTTACCCGTGGACGGGAGAGAAGGGAGCGTTCGGCAAGGCCTGGCTTCATGCGGGGATTGCGATGATCGCGGATCTCTGGGACCGAGAGCGAAGGGACTAGAAAGATGAGGCGAGTATCCTTACCCTCCTCACTGGCCAGTCCGCAAAAAAAACCCGCCAGGCTACCATTCGGAAGGCTATCCCCCCACTGGCTCGTAGCATTGAGAGCGGACATCAAGCTTCCCCGGGAATGGGTGCTTAAGATAGGGGAAGACCCCCCCGCGGTGGTCTTCCGAGTCTGCTTACCCATCTCCGATTCCTGGTTGAGCGTGCAGGCGTGGGAGAATCCCTCCGCTGTGGAATGGATAGGACAGCCGCTCAAGTGAACCCCGGAACGGGACGGCAGGATACCGGCGGACTTGGTGCGACAAGTAACCGTCTTGGCGGAGAAGCGGGGCGCTTCTCAGAGGATCTTTTGCCTCTTCCGACCACAGATGCGGCCGGAGCAGCTCGCCCTTGATCCCACGATGTGGACCTGGAAACACCAAGGCTTGCAGCGACGATCGGTTCCACTGCACCAGGTCTACACGAAAGTCATCTATCGGTCGCTGCTGTCCCCCTACCGGATGGACTGCGAGCTCAAGCTCCGCTGGGTCAAAAGGGGCTGGTTGTCGACGGCACAGGCCAGCGGTTGGACCCCCAGAAGGTGGAGAAACATGAATCTTCGGCTGCAAGCGCTGCCGCACCAGAAACATGCAGGACTCCTCTGCCTCAACATCCACTTGGCTCTGCCGACGCGACAGTCCCTCGCCAAACGCACCAAAAACCTGGACGCCACATGCCCGCATTGTGGAGACGATCCCGAGGACATGCCTCACATCTGGTTTGGTTGCCTGCCTCAGAAAGCCTTTTGGGAATGGTGGAGACAAGAGATTGGAGCCGACTGCGACCAGATGACTCCGCCCGCCTGGGAAGTCTGCGTCCTGATTGGCCCGGATCTCCTGCCCCCCCCCATTGCCCCGGAGCGAGCATACGCGATCGATGTTCTTAGAGCAGCATTCTTGGGAGCAGTTTGGGCGCTCCGCACTGCCTTGATCTTCCAACAACGTCCCCCCACGTTTGCGGCACTACGAGCGCTCACACTAACAAATCTGCGAACCGCCATCTCGGCAGACATTAAGAGAAAGCCCCAACCGCATGGACGACAATCAGGCGAACCTGGGCACCTTACCAAAAGTTGTTGACTCTCCAGGAACAAGCAGGCGATTGGCGGTGGACTGGCATATCTTGAGCAAGTGTTGGGGAAGAGAACAGGACAACGACAGTAAACACTCGGGATTCTACGCCATCGGACAGCGACGCCGGAAAGTAATGGAGGCTGTAGTTCGACAAATTGGCTTATGGGGTGTGACCTCCGAGGGTCGGAGTCATTAGAGAACAAAAACGGCAAGTGTTGCTGGCTATAGCTTGATAGATCCGCTTCTTAACCGTTGTGAGTCCTCAGGGTGAGCAAGTGCTGGTCACTATAGTTTGATAGATTGATCCCCGGTGAGTTGTGAGTTCTGAGCGTGAGAGTTAACTAGCTTACAAGACCTGCTCAATACGATGTAATGGGGCTAAGTAATGGAAATTGTAGATTGACATATTGCCTTACAAGTTGCAACTTCCGAGCGTGAGAGACATCAGGGACCGGCGGTGGCAAGTATAGGTGACTTGAGATTGACAGATTGCTTGCTGGTGCCAAGCGTAGGTGACTATAGGTTGATAGATTGCTTGCTTATGAGTTGCGAGTTCTGAGGATGAGAGTCAATTGTTTTGTAAAACTTGTTAAAGATAAACCTGTAACAGTACGATGCTTAGTGGGAGAAAAAAAATGATATCTGCTAGACAAGGAGAACCTGCCGATCGATTCAAAGAAACCGAAAATAGTGGGTCATCAATCAAGGACGCTCAACTAATGCAAGGTCGTGTGCTGAAAGAATAGAGGATAAATTGATAGACAACGTCGGTAGCCTGTAGGAAAACGATACTCAATTGGACATATTGTACTCAAGATGCCAAACTAGCACAAGTGATATGTCCAAATAATCCCCATGGGGAGCGAAGGTCTAGGTCCTGGACGTCGCGGGCTGGCCGAGCCTCGGAGTCCCCTTCCGTGACTGGGTGCTCACGTCTCCTGGCAGAAGGGGCCCTGATGAGAGGCCACTCGAAATGCACCCCTGCCCTAGCGCGGCCGCCTCAGGGCGACTGCGATACCCCTACCCCCCGCCTTCGCTTCCTCGCCTGTACTCTGGGACGCTGAGCCGGTTTCTCAGCAGGTGCTGCTCCCCACCCATAGAATGGAGCCGCTGGGCTACTGCTTCTCAATGATGCTCTTATCACATAGCGCAGCAGTGACCCATGTATTTTGTTAAAAAAAAAAAAAAAAAAAAAAAAAAAAAAAAAAAAAAAAAAAAAAAAAAAAAAAAAAAAAAAAAAAAAAAAAAAAAAAAAAAAAAAANAAAAAAAAAAAAAAAAAAAAAAAAAAAAAAAAAAAAAAAAAAAAAACACGAAGTAACGAAATCCCAGAGTTCGATTTCGAAAAACGCATAAGTAAAATCTCGAAATCCTGAAGTTCGATTTCGATAACGAAATCCTGAATGTCGTACGGATAAAACTTCGAAAAACGACTAAACGAAATCCAGAGATCCGGAAGTGCGATTTCGGTAACGAATCCCGAACAACGTGCGGATAAGATTCACAAAAAATCCCAAAATCCCGAAGTGCGATTTCAGTGACGAAATCCTGAATGTCGTGCAGATAAGACTCGAAAATGACTAAGTAAGATCCCGAAATCCCGAAGTGTGATTTCACTAACCAAATCCCGAATATCGTGCGGGTATGTCTTCGAAAAAACGACCAAGTAAAATCCCGAAATCCCGAAGTGCGATTTCGGTGACGAAATCCCGAACGCATCTGCGGATATGACTTCGAAAACCTACTAAGTAAAATCCCGAAATCTCGAAGTGCGATTTCGGTAACGAAATCACGAACGCCGTGCAGATATGACTTTCAAAAACGAGTTGGTAAAATCCCGAAATCCCGAAAAGCGATTTCGGTGACGAAATCCCGAACGCCATGCGGATAAGACTCACGAAAAATGACTAAGTAAAATCTCGAAACCCCGAACTGCGATTTCAGTGATGAAATCCCGAATGCCGTGCAGATATGTCTTCGAAAAAACGACTAAGTAAAATCCCGAAATCCCGAAGTGCAATTTCGGTAACGAAATCCCGAACCGCACGTGCGGATACGACTTTGAACAAACGACTAAGTAAAATCCTAAGATCCCGAAGTGCGAACTCGGTAACGAAATCCCGAATACGAGTAACGAAATCCCGAACGACATGCGGAGAAAACGACTAAGTAAAATCCCGAAGTCCTGATGCACGAGCCGATATCACTTCAAATATCGGTAACTTATGGCTTCAATAAGAACTTTATAGACTTAGTTGCTATCCTGAAATCACATTTCGAAATGCGATTTCAGTAACACAAAGGACGAATTCGGGTTTCAAAACCACGAATTCACTATTTTTTCGTTATCAAGCTTCGCTATCCCTGTCGACGAAATTTTGGGGTCTCATTGACCACGAGTGAAAGTCGTGCGATTGCAGAAAATAGTTCACCATGAACGGACGATGGCCGTACGACAGTGATTTAGGGGCGAAAGAAAAACCAAAAAAAAAAAAAATCTACATGGGGTTGTGGATCTTGAAAAGATCTACAACCCCATGTTTTTATTCTTATTTTTTTACGTGTAACAAAACAAAACGGGAAGCTGCCCCACATGCGTGAGAGTGTGTGTGTGTGTAATCGGGGGGGTGAGGCGATCCCCCCCCTCATATCAATCAATCAATCGATCAATTAATCAATCAATCAAAAGAAAAATAAAAAAAGAAAAAAAAATTACACGCATTTCTGTGTGTGTGTGTGTGTGTGTGTGTGTGTGTGTGTGTGTGCGTGTAATCGCGGGGGGGAGGCGACCTCCCCCGGGCCCCCCCACATCAATCAATCAATCAATCAAAAGGAAAAAAAAGAAAAAAAACAAGCCCCCCCCTATTTCTGTGTGTGTGTGTGTGTGCGTGTGTGTGTGTGTGTGTAATCACGGGGGGAGTCCCCCCCCCCCCCCCCCC